ACTTTTACTTGTGTAACACAATATCTTTACTTGATGACTTTTTCTATTAGTTAAAAATAGTCTTATTCAATTATTTATATACCTAGTGAAGTATTGCACCTGGACATAGCAACGTGTAACATCATATCTTTGCTTGCACTGTGCATTGTGCAAGTTCGAAACAGAGTGAAACCAAATTTCGGTCATGTCAACATTTGTCGACACTTGCTTCCATTTGCAAATCAGGTTTGCATCGTAATGTGGCCCAAGTTATATAATCTATAAATATTTACAACTAAAGTTTCATGTTTACATGTTTTTGCTTTACCTAGACGAAATTTTACTGATTACATGGGACAAGTTTGATACCCCTTGACCTGTTGTAGATAAATTTAAAATAACTATTAACTTATAATATTATAATAAACCTATAATATTGTGGATGAGTAGTAAATATAAACCTAATGTAATATATTCACATACAAAAGATATCGGGCCCTTCCACATTGTTTAGTAGTCGCAAAAGCACAGCTGTCATCCTTATAAGCCCCATTTTGTCAAGAGCTCGGGCTCAGTGGTCGCTAATGTTCGACAGGAGCGGGCTTACCAGAGATTCCTAATCACACACTATCCCTCGCTTTCTGTATGATGACCAACTGAGGTAGTTGACGGGCCTTCACGATAAATTTGCTCCCGAAAATGAGACGGAGACGGCCCATCCGTCTCCGTCTCATTTTCGGGAGCAAATTTCAATCATCTCATGAAAAATAAACTCCTGGGCATGGTCTTAAAAGATTTAGCGCAAGGCCCTTTACACACATGACTACATTTATATTGGAAAGTGTATGGCGGAAAAAACTTTTAATAGACCAGAACCGGCCCCGTTCTTTTCTTTTAATCAGGACCAGTTTCCCTATGTGAATTAATCCACTCTAAGCATGCGCTAAAGAGCCCTATTAATAGCACTTAAATTTGGCTAAAGCACATAATTTGGCTCTTACAATAAGGTAGGGTAATAAACACGTATTGGGTCATATATAAATGCTCAATTAATACGTCTACACCATGGCTATTATGAAAATTTTGGTTTTATTGGTTTTAGGAGCAAGACTTGACGGCAGCTGACTCGAGAATTTGAAAGAGTTTACAGAAGATATACTACTGATAACAAACTAGCTTTAATCTGCGCCTTTTCTAATAGACATACAAGTTTGAAACTTCGATCAAATTAGTGTGTCTTAGTTTGTGTGGTTACCCCTTAAGGAAAAGAAACATACGGCAATTTTATATTTAAGATACTGTGTGTACATGTAGTATTTATTTACAAAAATGTCATTTGTGTCATACGCAATCAAAAGAGTACCGTTCGGTTAAATTTATTTAAAAATCGATTCATTCGTCTATATTTATGAATAGTTCATTCTATTTGTGGAGAATGTTTTTAAAATACGGCATCCCATCAATACATACTGGTGGAGCACATACCGAGCATATTTTGTTTAATATTATGTTTTTTTTTAAACTAGTACAGTATTCATTGTAATATGTATGTTAATACGAATTGTGTAACATTCTAAAACATTTATGAATAGCTCAATCTATCTGTAGAGAATGTTTTTTAAACACGGAATCTCGTAAATACCTGCACATACTGAGCATGTTACGTTTAATATAGTTTTTTAAGAACTAGTACAGTATTCATTTTTATGTGTATGTAATGTAAATTATGAATAGAGTAACATTCCAAAACAGTTTTTAGAGATTAAGCACTGTGTAGTCGCTTGCTACAGTTGCGATCTTTATCTTTGGAATCAGATAACCAATGATTAAAATAATAAAAAAATATATAATATGAATTAAGTGAAGTTTACTGTTCATGTCACTTGCTATCAGACTGACAAGAGATAAATAAAAGCGAGTGAGTGAGTGAGTAAGAAAAGTGTGTACTGCCACTCAGAGATACCTGCAACTTAAGCCACAATTGCGTTACTAGCCCAGGAGTAGTAGCCCCCTCACCTCAGACCAGCAGACCCGTCAGTTGAAATATCAACATAAAATCTAAAAGCTCCTACTATAATTTTATATACATATTAATTATATATATACATAAATATTAAACGTCTTTTTGAGTGGAGACTCGGCAAATGTAGAGTAGGACGCCCACAGGCCAGGTGGAGTGATGATTTGCGCAAGATGGCTGGCAGGAGCTGGATGTGAAGCCAAAAATCGATCGAAGTGGCATACAATAGGAAAGGCATATATCCAGTGGTGCACTATAATAGGCTGATGATGATGATATCCAATTAATATAACAAGTCCCTGAAAGTTTAGCATTATATCCTCAATTAACTAGTACAGAGCTATTTCTTAGTTCCATGGATTCACCGTGCGGGTGCCAGGTCCATCGCGTGATAGATGGGGGCAACACATACGACTTCGACAGCGCCTAGGACTTGCGACCCAGGTATAGGTTTAGGGAGTATTCCTTGAGACGCGTCAGCTCACAGAATTCCTTTAAGTTAAACTTTGAACTAGCCACCTCTAAAGCATTACAAATTAAAAAAGGAGAAGTAATCCATATAGCCAATGTTCCCCAAACAAAGTAGTCTTGCCATTTTTTTTATTATAAACAAATCTTAATGTTTACTTTTATTTTTAACTACCTGAGACCCGCGGTGTTACCCGCGTTTATTGTTATAACCGCGGGCAACGTCACGGGGCGAAGCTAGTCTAAAAAAAGTAGCCTAAGTTACTCCTTATGTCATCAGCTATCTGCCAGTGAAAGTCCCGTCGAAATCGGTCCAGCCGTTCCAGAGATTACCCGGAACAAAAAAAAACAAAAACAGACAGACAGACAGACCGACAGAAAGACAGACAAAAATTGTAAAAAATGATATTTTGGCATATGTACCGTGTAAACATACATTTGCATTTAGTAAAAAGCGGTTATTTTAATATTACAAACATACACTCCAATTTTATTTATTTGTATAAAAAAGGAAACTAATACGTTTATTTTTTCAATAGGCTATCATATATTTTTCAAAATAAGGTTATATTTTGAAAAAACGGCTGTTCGGAAACCATTCCAAATAGTTAGCATAACTTATACAAAAACTAATGGTTTTTCATTTACACACAATGTTGCACAATAAGGGTTATAATCACTAAAAGAAAAATAGTGTGGTACAATGAGTTAATAATTACCTGGTCATCCGAGTCAAAATTACCCTCGACTTCACCTCTATAAAAACTGTGACGTGCTTGATCTCCTATCAGCCTCTTTCCCAATGTAGGGCGCATCTTCTTGAGGTTTCTCTATCAGAGGATAGAGAGGCAGCACATCGTCACAGCAGCTGGCTGGCATGGCGCACGCTTGGCGTGGACCCTCTCGGCCCTCTTGGGCCTCTTCGCCGGTGATGCTATCGCTACGTTCTGATTACAATTTCCCGCTCGCCTGACTCCTACTGTAGCTTGGTTCACAGATGGCATAACGTTGAGAGGGTAATTTTTCAAAAGAGAAGACGGTATACGCTACCGTCATAAGCCGGCTATACAGAAATAATTACAACATTACAACTACCGTCATTCATAACATACACACATTACAGTTAGGTTACGTATTTGTTTTGAATCCCGATTGTTCACGCTACCATATCACATGTTTGGTTGACCTCAATAAAGTAAGGGTAGTCATCAGTTCAAAAACTTAAAACAATAACCAATATTCCAGCTTCGAAATTGAGAAGAGAATCTGACGGTTCTAAGGGATAAGGTGCTATTGTTTATATACAATTTTACAGTCTGCATTTATATTTTTAAACGGGACTAATACCTACCTACACACCCACGAACACCCCGAGTTAGGACACTCGGGAAGGAAAAAAATATATTCGTATTTGAAATGCAAAAATATGATCTCGTTTCTGACCTAAAGCAAAAGTTTAGGTGGTTCTCAATTCATTCTCTTCAGAGCACTTACGTTTTCTTTTTTCGAAAACCACTTTCTGTCTCGAAAAAAATTTAAGTTATCTACTGTGACACACTAAAATTATATAAGATCATCCGAAGAATTGAGACTTCAACCTTGTGGAATTCATTGAAACTTATATCTGCGCAAACAATAACTATTTTGAAGTAAATGGTTCACAATATATATTTACTTTCTTACTTTATGGGGCAAACGAGCAGATGGGTCACCTGATGGTAAGTGACTACCCCCGCCCATGGACTCCTGCTACAGAAGAGTATTCACATTTAACTGATACTGTTTCTCCAAAACATCTTCATTTATCCAAAGGTTACCTAAAAGAGATCGCATAAGATTTTCAAAAAAATCGGCCTTATTGTTAATGACGCCTTTTTTATATTATCTGTCTGACACACGTATGATACTACTATCGTAAAAATGCTGTACACGTAAAGAGTTATCTATCTTTATTAATTTACTGTCAGTACAGTGCCTTAACTTCAGTGATAGACAACTACGCGGTACAGTGACAGCAAATGTGATCGGAAAATAAAAAATTGCTTTAGCAAATAAATACGTAATAAATATGGACTTTTGTAAAAGTGTTGTGTTGTTATAAAAAATAAAAAAAAAACATTGTTTACTATATATGTGCATTTACTAAAGCTACTAAAGATAATGAAACGTTCTAAACATGATTTGTTCGGTTGAGCATCGTGGTTTGTTCATTTATGGATAGTAGATAAAACTTTCTCTATCATTAATAGTGATACTAAGAGGATTCTACGGACCAGAAAACTGAAGAAACTATTTTAGAATCACAATTAAAACAAAACAAGTGCTATTGTTAGTGTTGCTAGTGCGTACAGTATAAAAGACAGAAGAAGTGCATAAAAACTGCTAATCAAACTTTGAGAAATATAACATTATCGAGTATAAAAAATAAAAGTGAAATTGTGCAATGACAGAGTCTTTTTTGTTAATGTCACTGAAATCACTAAAAAATAATAGAGTAGTATGGGTATTAATAATAGCAATTTTTACTTTTATAATGTGGTCTCAATTAAATTTTAATCCGCAACGAACACCAGAAGTACTAGTTTTGAGAAAACCAGAAAAGAAAGCAGAACACGTAACCGTCAAACCAAGATTAAAATACATTTTACTGTGGACATTGAAAACCAGAGATCCCGTGAAATATTTAGGTACAGGAAAAAATACATTTATAAACAGAAAATGCTCAAGCGTGGAATGTTACGTATCGACCGATAGAAACTTTCTAAAGAATGTAACAAAATTCGATGTTATTGTATTTCATAGTTCCGATATAAGAGACTTTGATTTACCAACGTCACGGTCACCACATCAAAAATACGTTTTCGCCAGCATGGAATCAGCAGATTACTATCCGTTCTGTAATACAATGTACAATGATTTTTTTAACTGGACTTGGACCTACAAATTAAACTCTGATGAGCAGTACTCTTACATTACTATTACAGATACTAATGGTACTATAGTTGGCCCTAGAGAATTTATGCATTGGAAACAAATTGAAGATATGGACCCTATTGACAATGTGTTAAAAAACAAATTAAGTAGAAAAAAAATAGCTGCAGCTTGGTTTGTATCAAACTGTCATTCGCATAGTAAGAGAGAACTTTTAGCCATTGACCTGATGGCTGAGTTGCAGAAATATAATTTGATACTAGACATTTATGGACAATGTGGATCAAAAACATGCCCACGGTCTGATATGTCGAAGTGCTGGCAGTTGTTAGAACAAGACTATTATTTCTACTTATCGTTTGAGAACTCATTTAGTCCGGACTATGTGACAGAAAAGCTACTTCACGCTTTGCAACACTACACCATACCCATCGTTTTCGGTGGTGCTAATTATACAAGGTTAGTTTCTGAGTCATTCTTTTTATTTAAATATACTTTAATGTGTGTCTTGTTGCTGCGCCCAACTTGCGGTATAGTACGTTTATCAAAACTGTATACTAAATAATATTTGTCTAATACACTCTGGGCTTGTACTTAATTAAAATAATTACAATTAATCAAACCTGGCCGTGTGAGACGTTATAAACTACGACCATAATTGATGTATTACAAAAAAAATTAATCAATTTTAAATTTGTAACAATACAGACCAGCGTAATTTTTACATTAATGTCATTAAATTATCCTACAGAAATATTATATAAAGAGAAAAAACCCTTATAATACTTCTAACGTTTAATAAACAGGAAACTAGTTTTTACCCGACTGCGACAGAAGAAAGGTTAAGTTGAGTGTATATTCTGTAGCCTATACGGCCTTGTAAGTTGTGGCGTTTGAGGTGTCGTGGTTTACGACTTAATTGTAAAGGTGACACTGGGTATGTACAATTTATAAATATTAAAATCGCCGGTTTGTAAATTTAAACTATACATTTTAGATAAACTTAGGTGCATTTAAACCTCTTAGCAATAAAATATTTATATAGGTACTAGTGAAATAATTAAAACCAGCGACAATGAAACTCAAAACTCTTTGCCGTTTAATGAAAGACCAGTTACGGCATTCATCTCTAAATAAAACAAAATCTAACACTATGTAATATTTTTGCAAGAATCAGAATGGCGTAGGTTACGTCTGAACTTAAAGATCTATAAAGGCATACGATAATACCTACTTATTAAGTTATTAAACATTTAGTATTTCCGTTACAGTCGCGCGAATATCGATCGACCTGCGAACCAGAAAGAAACCGGCCAAAAGTCTAGTTTGGGTTCGAGTTTCGGTTTCGGCCACTATTGGCCGAAACTTACGGCCGAGCCGAAACTCAGTGTTCGTTAACTTCGCGGCTAACTCGTGGACACCGATTCTAACTCAGTTCGCCGTCGTCGATTATGTTCGATTGAGATATTACTTTTGCCTTTTTTAAAACTCAAAATAGCTTGAGCGTAGTTTCATAAAACAAAAGCTAACCTCAAGCGTTTCTGGAGTTTCGAGTATCATTTTGTAATACGACCCTTAGATTTATTTGTTTGTAGATACTTACTTGTTTGTGAATATTTAATTGTTGTTGGATTACATTCTGTACCTCTATTTTACCATTTTTAACCACCAAAAAAACTTATACTACGTGTGATCTGCAGTTGCTTAACTTTTTTATGAGAAAACGCGTATAGACTGTTCAAATACCCCAGTCAGCCACCTCACCCCGTCGCGTGAGGTGCCTATTTAGTTCAATTTCTAGCACTTAGTAGTACCTACCTACGTTTTTTTTTCTCTCATTTAGACTTGATGCCGTGTGTCTACCTTATTACAGTGGCTTTAGGTGGTACGTAGGTATAAGGAGATAAATAGCTAAAAATACACTAGATTTCACTACACAATCAAATTTTTAAAATGATAGTTTGAGTTTCGGTTTCGGCCGAAACTTTGTTTCAGTTGGGCTGAAAGTTCGGTTTCCGCCGAAAAATTAATGAAAAAAAGCGACTGTGAAAAAATGTATAGGTAGGTACTTAAAATGTACAAATTCATTTTGATAATTTTCACCCAGTGTCACTCTCACAATTAAGTGCAACCAAAGAACACATCAAACATCAAAATTCGTCAAGTCGTTAGGCTACAGAGGGTGCCAAAGAAATATATATAGGTACGAGTACATACACACACGCGAAAAATATAATCTTCGCAATCGGGTAAAAAGCAGTATTCTTGAAGGATATTTTTGAGCTGTTTGACTTTGGAACCGGGAGCTCACTTGTTTTCAACGACCTTAGTAAGACTTCTGGATTCGATAGATTTAAATCTGTCGAATATTTGTTTCGGAGTTTGGGTGTTCTCTATGTATAATATGTATAGGTATTCTATCAGTCCATCTAGTTTTCATAGTAAAAGCTGTGCTTAATTTGAAACAGGATGGCGTTTAGTGTCAGATGTCTGAAATGTAAAAAAAAATATGTAATTTTTGTTTTAATCTTAATTTATTATTACAGTCGTCACAAAATAAGAAGCCCGTTTTGACATTTGTCATGGTGGCGTAACTAGTGATTAACCATACGACTCGGTGCACGATACTTACGATAAATCGATTCAAGCTTGTAGAGTATTTGATTGATTTGACTATATATCACAAAGTGCATTGGATTTAAGTTATAATTAGAACATATAACTTAAACTTTAATGTTATAGGCAATTTGAAATGATACAATGGAAAGAAATGTCAATTTGTCTTTACGTACTCTCCGTACGTCTCCTTATACGTACTGTCATAAGGTAGACACACACGGCATCAAGTCTAAATGAGAGAAAAAAAAATACGTAGGTAGGTACTACTAAGTGCTAGAAATTGAACTAAATAGGCACCTCACGCGACGGGGTGAGGTGGCTGACTGGGGTATTTGAACAGTCTATACGCGTTTTCTCATAAAAAAGTTAAGCAACTAAATAAGTTAAGTAAATAAATAAGTCTCATAAATAAGTTTTTTTGGTGGTTAAAAATGGGAAAATAGAGGTACCGAATGTAATCCAACAACAATTAAATATCCACAAACAAGTAAGTATCTACAAACAAATAAATCTAAGGGTCCTATTACAAAATGATACTCGAAACTCCAGAAACGCTTGAGGTTAGTTTTTGCCTTATAAAACTATTTTAAACTATTATAAGAAAAAAGAGTTTTGAAAAAGGCAAAGTAATATCTGAATCGAACATAAAGGGTTTTCCAATAAGAGGTGTTATTTTAGTATTCAAAGAAAAATGCAATTTTTTAAGATAAATAATCGGCTGTTTATTTTATAATAAAGAGGAAGGTATGCCGTTAATAATGGAAGATAACATCAGCCAAATGGCTACCACGACCACGCTTACAGGACCATATCCTTTTAATGAAATTTTGCATAACCAAATCGCAAAGTGGCTGCCTTATGTCCTCGATAGCCTCACGAATTCCATCTTTGAGGTCTTGAATCGACGCTGGGCTGTTGGCGTAGACCTTATCTTTCACGTGGCCCCAAAGGACGAAGTCGCAAGGTGTTAAATCACAAGATCTCGGTGGCCAATTGTGATCACCTCTTCGAGAGATAACAAGGTCAGGAAACTTTTCCCGTAAAAGAGCAATGGTTTCGTTGCTTGTGTGGCACGGAGCGCCGTCTTGTTGAATGTAAACGTTGTCCAGATCAATACCATCCACCTCCGGCCATAAAAAATCATTAATCATATCTCGATAGCGCAATCCATTCACCGTAAGTGTTGATCCAACCTCATTTTCGAAAAACTAAGGTCCAATGACCCCGCCGGACCATAAACCGCACCAAACAGTCACACGTTGAGGATGGAGAGGCTTCTCAACAATAACTCTTGGGTTTTCTGAGCCCCAGATGCGACAATTTTGCTTGTTGACGTAGCCTCCTAGGTGGAAATGGGCCTCATCAGTCAAGATGATTTTTCGATGGAATTCCGGATCATTTTCATGCATTTCAACTACCCAATCAGCAAAGACACGACGTTGTTGATGATCGGCCGGCTTGAGTTCTTGTGTTAACTGAACTTTATAAGCCTTAAGACCCAAGTCTTTATGCAAAATACGGTATAATGACGTTTGTGGAATGCCCAATTCCAAAGAACGACGAGGAATGAACAAACCTGCGTTTTCTTCAACACTTTGGGCTACAGCAGCAATATTCTCAGTTGTTCTTGAGCGACGTGCACGGGTTTTATTCTTCACATCACTAACTATTCCCAACAGCTCGAATTTTTCCACCAATTTCTGTATTGCGGTCCGACAAGGTGCTTCACGACGACCAAAAAATGCTTTAGTTTTGCGAACTGTGACTGCAAGATTTTCACCATTTATGTAGTGAATTTTAATAATTTCAATGCGTTGTTGAAGTGTGTATCGTTCCATTTTTAGTAATGGCGTAGTTTCTACTTGTCAAATGTCAAAAAAAATAAAAGCTTCAAAAGTGACAGCCACCGAAATACCGGGTGATTCAAAATAACACCTCTTGTTGGAAAACCCTATATTACAACAAACACCAAAATCGAGTCCAAATCGCTATGTCTAATCAATGTCCGGAATAGAAGAGCCAAGGTCAACGTGATAGTAAACAAAAACAGTCCAAAAGCAAAGCCGAGTCTAGAAAAAAATATGAAACATAAACGAGCGCATAGTCAACTTCACAAGATATCGAACGAAAGACTGCGCAGTACGCGGTACGCGCATGGATCACGTGCCGCTTGGTCATAGACAAACCATTCCATAGGTACATAGAGAAAGGAAACAAGTTATGTACGGCTTTGATAATTCTTTTATAGAATGACTTTTAAGGACTGTTGTTAAATGTGACTGTTGCAAAATGAGACATGACGTTTGAGACAGAAAAATGAGGTGAATTATTTTTTTCAATATCATGATGAAATGATTTGTTTAAAAAACGCGGAGTTCACTCCGGGTTTTTTAACAAAATCATTTAGTATAATATCAAAATATTCATATTAAAGATCAAAATAAAGGTAAAACTATATGTGATCAGATTTTGTTTTTATATGTTTAAATATTAAATAATACACTAATTACACATTTATCTCTTTTTTTAATGTAATTTTTGTAAACGATTTTCGGAAACTCTATTTTATTCGGCCATAAAACGGCTTTTTAACGGTTACAACACTACGGCAACCAACCCAAAGACATGACATTGTAGTAAAGTCTTGTCAGAATATTAATCAACGATTAATTCGTGTTCTTGAGTGCATTTTTTCAATATAAAGTTAAACTTGATGCTTATTTATGATACGCGTTGTGATAGTGTATGGGTAACATAGTAATTAAATAGGATTATGAATTTGATTTTTCAATTTCTTACATAGACGTACATACAAAGTTATCGCGGCATGTCAAATGAGAAACGTCAAAACGGGCTTCTTATTTTGTGACGACTTTATTGACTGATTATTGTAATATTTATCTTGTAATATCTCAATATTATACCTCTTTCTTTGCAGATTTATGCCTGATGGAATCTATCTGGATGCCACAAAACTTACGGTTCCTGAGTTGGCAAAGAAAATGGCTGACATAATAAACAATAAAGAAGAATACTACAATTATTTCAAATGGCACAATCACTACTCTTATCATGATTCGACTGATTTTTCAGAAAGTGATCCTTATTGTAACTTTTGTTCAATGGTTGATGATGAACAACGATTTGAGGAAAAAAGTGTTTACGACGATTTTTGCACTTGGTGGAGTACGCCTACGAGGTGCAGAGTTTAACAGAATAATAAAATTAAGAAAAAAACTGGTTTTATTCTGATTGATTGATGATTTAGGATTAGCAGTTGTAATTCATAGAAAACCTCTTTTCTAAAGAGAGGCCTATGTCCAGCAGTGGACTATTAAAGGTTGTAGATGTATGATGATTTATAGAATAATATGTACAGTTGTCCTGACAGACGAATAAATGAAATCACATTTAGATATTTCTGATCGATTAACTATTTCTAGTTTCTTAAGCTGCTCATTTTTAAACTTTTTAAGATTTTCATTTAAAATGTTTCTTTTGGTTTCTACATTTATCTTTTAGTCTCACTCGTTTCATAAGTAGTTATAAAATATTTCAGAATTATTGATTTTTATTCCTATCTAAAATTTTAAATTCGTCATATCTACAGACGAAGATTAGTCTTCAGGGCGATGACCAATCTGAAAAGCGAAGACCAAAGTATTATTTTCCTATCTAAGTATTAGGGTATTTTTTATGTAATTAATTAAATGTAAAAAATGTATTTAACTACACAGAGTTTATAGTTAGGAAACTGCTGTTCTAATGTACTGTAAAACCTTTTTTTTTTGTGTCAGTGTATTTTATGAAAGTACAAGTAACATCAATTGTTTTCGCAGTGCTTGCTAAACTAATAAATATTTTTGATATCATGAGTATGAAAAATTCGTGAGCGTACATGACACTGTAATTTTCTACAAATGGAATATTTAAAAGTAGTTAAGTATTTGATGTTATTTAATACAAACAAACGCACAATATTTTTCTCTTTTATTAAGTTTAGATGAATGTTCTATTTTATTATTTATTCTCATGATTTTGAGATCATTTTTTTGACATCATTTTTTTAAATTTATTTTTGTATTAAATATCTTGACTGAAATATGTGTTTTTTTTTTGTCAAAATGTTATCTTGCACTTCTGCATGCCCTGTTATGATCTCCCATCAGACTATTTCATAAACCTATTTGAAAACCTAAAATTTATTTTCTCAAATATGTCTCAATCTCGATATATAATATATAATCATGATAAAATTTTCACAATTTTTGTTTCTGAAACTTTGATTTCGAAAGTCAGATGTCTTAGTCAGATGTCTTCGAAAGTCAGATGACTTTGGAAGGTAGGGCTGCCTTGTAGACTTAGGAAGGGCTGCCATTTTTGAAGTAAAAGATTTTTTTTTTAAATTTTATAATATAATTCTATTTGTATACGATACTAATACTCCAACATGTTTTTCCTCGCTTATGAGGACTTTAGGTATATATTTCGTCCTGTCAGACTATACTTACCCGTAGTAAAAAAGAAAAGTGTATCAGACTGCTTATCATAGGTTTGTTTCATAAATCTACACTTAAATCAATTAGTTTCTTAAATTTCGTTAGCTCCACTGTTCTATTCAAAACAATTTCATGTTTTAGTTTTAAATACATTTTTTTTTGTACAAAATTGAGGTATTAAATTAAAAACTTTAAGGCATTCATTTCATCACAAGAAAAGCCTTGCTACGTTATTTATTTATTGTTCATTGGAAACCAAGATATCTCAACTGTCTGTCTGTAGCAGTAAAAACCACAGTTATATGGGCTTCCTAAAACCTTCAAGACTCCAGTAAACCGGTTCTAACACAAATCTTTTTTTATCTTATCTGTGTCTATATATGTTATTATATGAAACCTAGGATTTATTTATTTAGGACCCATAACATTCAGCGTAGTAGTGATGGCGACCGCTTAAACCACTGCGCCGTCCGTGCAGTCACTACGTACAGTACGTACATATAGTAATGTGTCAGTATAGTAATCAGTATGGTTATCGGCAGTCTAGTTACCATAGCACAGGCTCTGCCTAGTTCAGAATCAGAAGACCGCGTGCGATCCCGTCGATGAACCATTGTGCCAAGCTTTGATAATAAATTCATTATAAACTTGTGAGAACCTTTATTTATTGATTTACTTGATTTTCCTTTCCTTTCCTTTTTATTGATTTTCCACCACGTCATCAAAAAAAGGCCTTAAAATAATCAGTACCTCACTGGCCTTTTTGTTTGACTTCCACATACGGAAAACAAAAAACATACATCAGTGCCATCTAACAAAGACACATGAAACTACGTAGTAATTGCTAATCTTGTTTCGTGATAAATTCTCACGCCGAATTCGATATCTTCAGATTTATTTTTTTGAAATTTAATCTACACACGATGTAATAAAATATATTTTTATTGATTTAAATTATTAAAATTATATTACAATAAATTTCAGTTTATTGTAGGTTTTTATGATTCATTGTAAAATTTTAATACTAGTATGAATTAATTTATTTATTTTATTTTAATTTTCATCCTCATCACCTGGATAGTTGGCGCTCTACTACTGTGCGCTTTTCGAGACACTTTTGCCCCGCACAACCAATCTGTAGAAGGGGTTATCGTCTGCGGCATTTCCGAACCGATACGACCTTCAAGAAAAGAGCGTACACCTTCCTAAGAGGCCGGCAAAGCGTTTGTGACTCTTGAGTTGCAGACGTTCATGGGCGGCGATGGTCACTTTCCATCAGGTGACCCGTCTGCACGTCTACCCCCTCTAACATAAAAAAAAACTAGTATAATAATTTAAATAAAATCAACTTATCTTTATCATGTATATTATATTCAGATGCAATTTAATAATAATAGATATTATTTTTTAGAATTTTCAACAGTAGAACCTCTGTAAGTTTTTAGTAAGACCCAAAGTTTTCAGTTTTATCAATTTTATTAGTATCCTATTGTTAAAATTGATGTGTATTGCAGTAGAACCAAAACTACTTCTGATATTTTTTCAATCGACAACTTACCATCATCATCCTTTACGATATAATATGCCTTCACATTGCAAAGTAGCAGATTATTATTAGTAAAACATTATCATAAAACTATAGTATATCAACTATTAATATTATTTATTAATTAACTATTATAAACCCTAAATATTTCATAAAACGTTTCCTTTTTTGCACTCAAAACCACCAGAAAGATACTAAAATATGAACTAACATTACAAGCCTACACTAAAGTATACTTACATTTAAATACTGATAAATAATACATCTTAATTTCAACGAAAAAATAACCAAATTGTTAACAAACAAAACTCGAATTAAAACAAAAAAGCATTTTCAAACCGTTTTTTTTTTGTTTTGAATAAGAAAGTGTTGGTGGCCAGGAAGCTCATTCCAAATAGGAACGGACTACACCAAAAAGGATGAGCCAACAAACTCAGACGTATGGCAGGGACAACAAAAAAGAATATTAATAGAGGACTGAAGGTTTCTATAGTGATTGCTACATAAAAGTTGGCAATAGTAATTTAAATATGTGGGCCAAGGTAGGTTGTTTAAGACAAAGTACAAGACAGTGAGAGCGCGTAAATCTCGTGCGTACCATTTACTGTAATCACTGCGACCACAGAAACGCCTCGTACCGATAACAGTTTATTGGACATATTATTATGGACATGACAAAAAGAGAACATGAATAAAATAATTAATCCACCATTGAATTCGATTTTGGATTTAGCGACGAGAGCAGCAATAATTGTCTCAATTCAAACTTTACCAATATCTAATGACTTAAAATGTCTTAACAATAGAATGTTACCTAGTATCAACTCAATTAAGCCGTAGACACTGTAAGTAAACTAACTATAAGGGTTCTTTGTTAATTACAGAACCCTAGAAATGACCCTGCAGTGAGACAATCAAACATGACTTTACTATTGTCAAATATTTGTATGTACAGAGCACAATGTTCAAATTAATATATAAATAAATGTATTATAGCATAAAGTTAAGCACAGATATGCAAATAAGATAACAGTCTACCTTGTAACGGATATAATTTCGGTACAGAAACATTTTCAGCAGTAGTACTGCCTGACGTTTTGTTAGCACCTTTGTGTTTAAAATACTGTACTATGACGCAATCTCTTAAAATTTGGTCAAAATTTTCAACGACCAAGGAATCTGGTACATTAAATTTTCAAATTGTTGAAGCACCAAAAGATCGTATTGAAGATGTCGCAGAGTTGATTGTTAATCACTTTATGACAGGTGAAGCAATTTCAAAGGCAGCAGGTACTTTTACATTGTGATAATTTTACACAATTTACAAAGGGTGTTATCATGTTCGGTTTCAATACATTTGATGAAGTTATGATTAGGTAGAATAGAATACAAGACTAGGCAGCGATAGTAAGGTTACAAGGCGACAGCATGTGGAAATCAGAAGCGGGATCTGAATGAAACAATGAAGAACTAGATGTATTTGGAATTACTAAAGATTTGTGATCAAAGTCGTTCAGTTGTCGCTCAAGTAGCCTTAGTCAAAATGGAGTATTAATTACAGATCATAGACCAAATATTAATATTGTATGTGCCCTAAAGTGTCCAGCTCTGAGCTCTATATAAGAAGATGCGTACCATAGGAGTCGAAAAAGACTAACATGTACGACTTAGTGATCAGATGTTTATTCCCTCATACCAATTTTTTTACGTGAGAAATTCCCCTCTGGCCGTCACCCCACCACGGTGTGACGGGGTGGTGTGTCGGAATCGGAACGACTAAAACCACACGTTGTGCTACTCTGCGCTTTATTAGGGATCTAAGAACTGCTGTTATTAAGACACCCAGACTCCTCTTAGCGCCTGCCAGCAACTGTTCATTTTCTATTTAGGTGACGTCCGGCACACGCAGACATCGCCTCCTCGTGGCTGGCCGTTGTAGAGGAAAACCCGTCCCGTCCAGCCGCAGCCACACTCAGTTTGGCATGAGGCGCTGGTAAGCGCACCTTCGCCGACCGGTTGACCGACGACGAATTGGCTCTGAGTGGAGGTTGTCCTCCCGCGCCCTCAACGCCGCCTCTTTCTGCGAGATGACGTCTTTTCAGAAGGACGCGACCGCGGTAAAACATCTGTCACTACCGGCCATGGAGCGTATGACGGCCCGGTAGCGAGAGGTTCGCTGCGACGACTGAAATAATGTCCCGGCGCTGCGGCACCCAAGCTAGCCAAATTGCCATAGTGTGCTAAGCCGAGTCCTCACTGCAATCGTAGTGGTGACAGGTGGGACTCAATTCGCTCCTAGTGACGGAGTGCAGGTACTTTTCGAAGCCTGCGTCAGTCGGAAGGAAAAGGTCCCATGCTGCCCACCTGCCCACTCAACGATACCGCCTCCACGGCGGCGAAGCCAGCACGTGGAGCCTGCAGCCGATACGACCAATGAACCATAGTCGCGGCTGCCCGCCACCCGCTCTTCGGGAGGGGCCCAATGCCATTATCCGCTCGGAACTCAGCCGACCACCGATATACTTCGGCGAGCACTTCCGCTTCCAAATCCCACGGGGGAGTACCCGCCAATACGCACGCCGCCTCCGACGAAACGGTGCGATAACCGCGTATGGCTCTAACCGCCAATATTCTTTGAGGGCGCCAGAGGCATGCCTTATTCTGGGCACCGTGTACACCGGGCACACCGGTGCACCGTGTACAGCGGTCTTGTTGTAACGCTGGGTCTACCCTATCGCTACCGCTACCGGAGTTCACCTCGATAAATTATGGCAACGACTACAGTACCAATCATCAGATATGTTACCTCCGACGCCGTATAAGAAGATTAAATATCTTAATAGATTCATTTAGATAGCAATGCGCTTCAAAATTTTCTTTAATTTCGCTTTTATGATCTTTATACGCTTTGATATCGATTAATTATTTATCCTATTTTGTTTTTTTTAATAACTGTGGCTCCACAAACGTTATGAGTCATTTATGCAAATCAAGGCCGCGATCAAAGCGAACCGCGTAGAACAAAAGTAGTTATTACTTTTGTGCAATAAGGGGAATGACCTAAACGTTCAACGTCGTTGACAGCTGATTGCATACAACGTTTAAATGCTGTTTGATTAATTACATTGGAGTTGTCGGTTTTTCGTTCGGTAAAATGTTCTGTTTACTCATTGTTATATTATTTTTACATTCATAAATTATTAGGCAGAAAGTACCAATGATTTTCGACTCAGAATGATGGCCTGAATACACTATTTCCGTATTCTATACGGTGTCGCTAACACTCTGTATAAGTGTATATGATGTAAGTGTTTATAAAATTAATTTATTTTAATATTTTACTAAAGGAATCTCAAAAAGCGACGAATCAATTGCAGAATATAAACAGCTTTTATTAGAGCTTTTACAGGATAAAGATAAACATATAGTAATATGTTGTTTGGATAATGACAATGGCACTGTAGGTGAAGTCATTGGAGCATCCTTAATGAGATTGATAACGAAAGATAAACCAGAGGAACTAAAGGTATTAATTTAAAATGTAAAATTGCAAATTAATTCATACATTACAGGTGATAAATATTTCTGACACCTTATTTTAATGACGAAAGTAAATTTTTTAGTTGCAGCTAAAATCAAAGGAATTACAAAAGTTAGTTGATATATTAAAAGGATTAGAAGAAATGTATGATATGATATCTGAACAGGGAGTTGAAAAATTCTATGACGACCGAGGCGTAGTAGTACACCCAAACTACAGAAGATGCGGTATATGTTACGAGTTAGTTAAAACAAGGTAAGCACTTCTCGTGAATTTGATTGATATTTACAGTTACAGAAATGGTGGCTTTTAGATTCTTCAGAGAAGTGAACCACCACCAGATAAGACCATTATTCTGACTGGCAAAACGCACCTCCAGTATCTCTTGCACGTTTTTAGAAAATAGCGGTACAACGTCTGTATGATAGAATTCCAGATTTCGTTTGTTGCCGTAATATTGTAAATGATGATTTACAATAGTTATGATCTTGCAAATGAAAAACTTATGACCACTATGGATTTTGTGAAACTGTCTATGTGATCAGTTCACATTTTACTATATTTTTGGACGTGCAAGAATTTAATAACTTTTTTTAGCAATTTTAATTATCGTTACATTTCGATTATCACGTAAGAGAGCAAATAACCACGTATACACTCCTTTTAGGCTCTAGATCTATTGTCCAAGACCCCATATCACTTGGTTCGGTTCGACTTCGACGTTAGTAGCGAGTTTAACATCAGACTGTTTTCGATGGTGTTTATCTTAAAGATTTCCAAGATTAATTTGACTTCCTTGAACATGCATACACATACTGACGAAAGATTTTATGCTTATTCATTAACTACTAAAAAATAAAAACCGGTCAGGTACGAGTTGAACTCGTGCACCGAGGGTTCCGTACCTACCCAGATTTTACGTAGATTTTCGCGAAAATTTGATAAGTACCAAAATTTATCATAATTTTCAACTTTTTTATTTTTTGGAAGTATTCCTTTATTTGTGCTGTAAGACGTTTCTTTTTGACACATTTCGTGACTCTAGGTCAACGGGAACTACCATATAGGTTTTCGACCCAAAACCTATAGGGTACTTCCGGTTGACCTAGAATTGTCAGTTTTGGTTAAAAGCAAGGTCTTACAGCACAAGTAAAGAGAAAATTCTGAAAAATAACAAAGTTGAAAATTAAGGTAAATTTTTGCAGTTACAAGTCTTCGCGAAAATCGAAATTTTGCCCATATCTTTTTATCGTGTTGACTCAGGACCTTGATTTTTATACATCTAATAGGGACCAGAGACTTCAGTATCTGGTATAAATTTCAACTTGCTAGGTCTACCCGTTCCTAAGAAAATCGGTGGTGACACACGGACAGACGGACAGACGGACAAGAAATTGATCTTTTAAGGGTTTCTTTTTTACCTTTTGAGGTACGGAACCCTAATTACTAATTGAATTCATATCTATAGTGTATTCATCATGAATACAAGACATCACTATACATTTTCTTATTTCGGAAAAGAATAAAGAGATTTATACAACCTTTTAAAGTAAGATTATTATTTATTTTAGACGACTCATATGTCAAGAACTTGGTGTGCCCTTAACAGCGGCATTAATGACAGCATACGCTACCCAGAAGGCTGCTGAACGTGATGGTTGGGAAACAGTGTCTGAGTACAATTTCGAAAAAATTGGCAAACTCTTTAATGTTACCTTCGATAAAAATGATCCTCCAATAGCAAAATTAATGGTAGCAAGAGCATAAGACAATAAATGAGAAAGGTTACACATAAATAAAAACAACGTTTGTAATGTTCTACGTAAAGATGTTGTATTCTATTTTATAAAATTTCGTTGTTTAAAAATATGTAAGTAGTTTAAATATGTTCTATTAAACAAAGCTGTTTTATTTAAGCAATATACGATACGGCAAACTTCAAATTTTGAATGATAAATTGACTTTTATTTTACCGTCACTGTCACTTTTAATTCGATTTCTAGAAAGGAAAATAAAAGTTGACGCACAGTTTTATAACTCATACGTACTTCTTTAAAGGCGCTACACACGGATAAAATATGAAATAAATATTATCTTCGTCGTGTGTCCATTGAATAGTATGGCGAGCGATATTGTATCTTAAGATAAAATATTATAGTATCTTAGCCGTGTGTAGCGCCCCTTATCTTATGTTCCACAACCGCAAACACCAAACACGATTCAAATTTAACGTTTAAAAATAAATTAAAAACGTAAGTTGCCTAAAAACCATACTAATCCTGATAGATAAATGACGCAAATGCCTCATGCTTGGGCAACTTACATACCTTGATAAGCCAGATATCTTGAATTCATCAAACAAATTGTAAATTGTGCGTATCTTAAATTGACATATAAATAGACACCATCATGTTTTATAATTCATTTTAAAACAAATTGCCTATCAGAGTGTGGAACTAACACAAATCTATCAGGTGCATATCTAACACATCAGTAAAGTACGTAAACACATCCACATCAACTATATTTAAATTGTTTTTATACCTATAAAGAAAAGCAATACTAGAACTAGCATTTCATGATAAAATGTTTCCACATGAGGACGGTATCTTTCTTTAAATGCTTGGTGGAATAAATAGTTTGCGGTTGATAAACTGTTCACTGAATTTTAGTGTCAAATAATTTTAAGCATTGTTCTGAGTCTGGTTATTTGTCCTACCATCAGAAAATCTATTCTTCTCAATGATATACTTACATAAATGAATTGAAGTTAACATAGAACAAATAATGTAATCAGAAATGATAAGAATTAATCCGCTTTCTAAAATAAAATGATGTCTCGACTTGATACAGAAAACTTCCTTGTATGCACAACTTAATTTCTATGAACACTCTATGTTCTTATTTGAACAGATTATTGATCCGGTAATAACAGTCCTGTCCGTTTTTGATAGGTTTTATACGTTTATGGACAGTTTTGATGAAATTTACACTTCTATCAAATATTTAAAGAATAGCATACGCTTCTAGTCGGTTACTCCTATTATCTGCTAATACGGGAGACAAAACAAAAATTATTATTCTAAATCCTTCTTCTGTCCAACGATAGTCGGACGAAAATTCTAAATTTACGTAAGTACACAATAGAAAATGTTTAGTAGATACTGCAACCCCAAACGTGTAATTACAATTGTAGAAGGTATTGGTTCTATTTGACGATACCTCTGCGCCAAATGTATGTGAATATAAATTAGCGATTGAATAAAATTAACATAAAATTATACTGTCAGATACATTAGTAAGCAAATTTAATCTTTATTCTGAAACCACTTGATATGATGTGACGACAACTTTTGAGTAGTTTTTTTCTTTATGTAATACACAAGTAGTACCTATCTTTGGGTTAAAAATACAGTAAAGTAGTAATTCTTGAATAAAGGCTTTAAAAAAAAAATTGAACTAACTTCAAACCAAACTAACAAATAGCACTAAAAATTAAAAAAATAATTATTTGTAATTATTTTTTTAATTTTTAGTGCTGATTGCTAATTGAAAAAACCAAAGTAAGTGCGAACTACAAAATAAACTTGACCGCCTTCTCAACAATTGCATTCGATTCGTTTTCAATTTACGCAAATATGATCGCGTGTCTCAGCATCGCTCTCTTTTGAAGTGGCTTCCAATTCGTCGACACCGAGAGACACGGGCATTAACTATCCTATATTCTTTACTCTTTTCTCCAAGTGCTCCTTCTTACTTAACTAGTCAACTTCAATATTTAGGTGCAAACCACGCTAAAACCCTTAGATCTTCAAGTAACCTACTTATTAACTGTCCCACTCACCTCACTGACTTCGTACATTCTACTTTTCTGGTACAATCTGTTCTGCTATGGAATGCGCTCCCTCTCGCGATCAGGATGGCAAAAACTCGGCAAACCTTTAAATACCTGTTGCGAAAACAATTTTAAAACACCTTATCAAATCCATCCAATTTTTTTTTTACTTTCTCTTCTAGAATTTATTATGTGGATATATATGTGTATATACAATATAATTATATGTATGCATACCCATGCATATATATAATTAATAAATAAAACATTTACAATATTTAATACATATGCACCTGCATATGTATATATAAATACTTATGTATTGTGTGTCTTAGTATTATTATCACTTATTGTAAATGTATTATTTATTAAGAAATATTCTAATGTAATTAATATAAGTACTCTGAATATCATATATTTTTCAAAAATGCTATATTTCTTTATCCTATATATCTTTTTATTTATTTATCCTATATATGCTATATTTTTCAAAAAATCACATTTTTAATTTCTTTTGTGCATCTACCATGTTTTAGCTCATTAAAATAACTTAATAAAAAAATAAAATTAAAAAAAAAAGAAATAAATAAATTAAAATAAATGATTAAAGAATAAAATATAAAAAATATAAAAAAAGAACTAAATAAATTATTTCCTCAAAAAACGTAATATATTTTCAACTACCGATATTTATACCGATACCAATGGCTACTCGATGGCATCTCAATAGCGTGTCAGTGGTATGACACTGGCAAATGTTTTGTAATCTCATTTTTTAGTTTCTTGTGCACATATCACTATAAAATAAAGACCATACATGATTATATTATTAAAAGAGTTGTTCTCCAACTCCTAAAGTTTAGGGTACCTTCACGCCCGTAAATACTAGTTTTAACCTACACCTTTGACTTTGCTTAGATGGACTCAGATTGAACTAAATAATCGTGAGGCATGTATTCTTAGGAATGACTTCCTCTCTGTTAATGTAGGTATTCCTATGTATACCTACGTCCCTATGGATGTAGTAGCAGTTGGTCACCGTTTGGTCAGCAATCAAAAACGTCAAAAAAGTAATAGCAGTTCCCGGATCCCTCCTATTACAAACGCAGATTAGCACACCGTGTGGTTTTAGTTGGTCACACCACCCTGCCGTAAACCCCGGTTGGGTGACGGTCCGAGAAGGTTTCCACACGTTGAACAAAAAAAGGACAACTGGCGTCTGTATTTTGGCTATGATTCTGCTAGCCAACCTATAACTCTACACGCCCTAACTTCACAAACTCTACACCTTAGTCAAAATATCTTACTTCTTATTCTTTTTTTAAAGACAACTCCCACTCTAGGAATATATCCTGGGTCGCAGGGTACATAACATGTATTTATAAAAATGACACAAAGGACACCCAGACTCAGAATAACAATTTGAGGATCCCACGAAGTATTTTCCTATGTGGGGGTCGAACCCACAATATTCAGCGCAGTGGAAAGCGGCTAGGTAATCGCTTAAACCACTGCACTATCCTTGCAGTCAATGTGGCTTGGCCGTTTCGTTACCACAATAATTATTTTATAACATTATTGTATTGAACAGTAAATAAAATTTTCACATGTAGCATGAAGGTAGCAAAACAGCCAATCCCCCAATATTTGATCAAGGTTTAGGATTTTTGAAGTTAGTTCTTGTAGAGTTAGGGTGTGTAGAGTTATAGGTTTGCTGGGTGAGATCTGATAACTTTCTGATATGCGAGCCATATGGTTTCGTCTTGGCAATATTTTACAGGAAAATATTTTTCCTGAGATTTCACTTCTTTTTGACATTATGAATAACAAGGAATCCTTATGTCCATTTTTAGTCCTCTAGCATTAAAATTTGTGGATGTCTCAAACAAACTGCCATCCCCTAGTTTAAGGGATTGAGGTAAAAAGTTCCAAGTTTAAGTTTTTTTATTTATTGTGTACTAAAAATAGCTTACACTATATTTCAGCTTTCTAGGACTGCAGAAAGTACCTACCCTAAGAGTTTTGATGATCATCAGTGAGTTAGTGACGAAATAGTGGTTATTTAAACATCAATATCAAAATCTAAAGTAAAAGAGCCACGCATTTGAAACTTTATATGTTTAATAAGTCTACTATTGACATCATATTCCAAGAATTTTGTTTATCTGGTATAATGAAAACCTAAGTTATGAGGGTTAAAAAAACGGCGAAACACTTCGAGAAAAGGTAGGTAGTGCCTTTGCCTTCGCTTGACTCTTCTTGGCGGTGACACTGCCGTGCCCCCCGATCTACAAAGTACAACGTCCAAATTAATATATAAATAAATATATTATAGCATAAAGTTAAATGCAGATATGCATATCAGATAACAGTCTATCATGTAATGGATATTAATTCGGTACAGTAGTCAGACGTTTTGTGTTACAAAGTTGCATTGTGATCACGTGACATTAAAGTTGATCAAAATTCTCCACGATTAAGGAATCTGGTGTACTGAATTTTCAAATGGTTGATGCACCCTGTGATCGTACTGAAGATGTCGCAGAGTTGATTTTTCATCACTTTATGACAGGCGAGTCTATTTCTAAGGCAGCAGGTACTTATACATTTTGATACACTTATATAATGTGCAAATGGTGTTATCATGTTTAGCTTCGATACATTAGATCAAGTTATGTCTAGATAGAGTACAATAATGGGCAGAGATAGTTAGGTGATAATGCGTTGCATGGCTCCATTGTAACGCTGATAAACAACACCTGTTTAGTCTGAATTACAGGTTTGTTTGTTATGTTGACTTAATCAAAGTATTTAAGAGCTTTTAAGTGTCCAGTTCTCAGTTCCGTACAAGAGGATGCCTACTCTAGAAATCAAGCAGGCAGAAAGACTAATATGCATGAATTAGTGATCAGACGTTTATACTCTCATACTCCTATATTTAAGCTCCGGCTCATGAATATCATGAATTCATGACCGTGGATCGTAAGTAGCAGAAGCGGTCAACCACCTTAAACAGGTACGCTGTTACTGTTGTTACGCTGCTGTTGGCGAAAGTTGAGCTTAATCGATTTGCCCATGGAAGTGTCTTGAGATGGGATCACTATCTTTTTGGTATTTATGGACAAAAAGATTACAGGCCAAAGAAATTCGATTTCAGATTCATCAAAGAGAGCTGCTACAACAGTACTCAATTATACCAATATTCAAGAACTTTGACGTCTTAACAAAAGGATTTTTCCTCCCCCTACTTCTCCTTCATTATCAAACATACTTTCATCCTACGCACTTGTAGTGCAGAAAAAACACTAAGTTAGTTTGAAGTTTAGTTTAATTTGTCATGCCTACTTCAAGCCCATTTCGTGCAGTGAGGTATCTGTAGGTTTAATTTTTTATTTTAAATGTGTATGTAAGTACGTAAATTATGTTTTAATATATTTTATTAAAGGAATCCCAAAAAACGACGAAGCAATTGCGGAATATAAACGGCTTATATTAGGACTTGTACAGGATAAAGACACACATATAGTTATATGTTGTTTAGATAATAACAATGGTGCTGTAGGCGAAATCATTGGAGCACCCTTAATGGCGTTGATAACGAAAGATAAACCAGAGGAACTAAAGGTATTAATTTAAAATGTAAACTTGCAAATTAATTCATACATTGCAGGTATTCATTTAAAATGTAATTTCTTTTTTTAAGACAACTTCCGCACTAGGAATAAGTCCTGTCTCGCGGGGGACTTTACAAACATACATGAAACGGATATAAAGGATACCCAGACTCAGAACAACAATTTGTGGATCACACAAAGTGTCGTCCCATGTGGGGATCGGACCCACAACACTCAGCGTAGTAGTCAGCGAAGTGGCGACCGCTTAAACCACTACGCCATCCGTGCAGTCTATAATGTAAACTAACAAACTAAATGTAAACTAACAAACTAATTGATTCATTATAAGTGATAGATATTTTTGACACCTTATTTTAATGATGAAAGTAAATTTATCAGTTTCAGTTAAAATCAAAAGAATTACAAAAGTTTTTTGAAATAATAATAGGATTAGCAGCAATGTATGATATGATGGCTGAACAGGGAGTTGACAAATTCTATGATGGCCGAGGCGTAGTAGTACACTCAAATTACAGAAGATGCAGTATAGGGTACGAGTTAGTTAAAACAAGGTAATCACTTCTCCTGAATTTGATAAATTAAGGAAAACTGCTTTGTCAACAGATTTGCAGTTAAAGAAATCATTCTTTATGTTATAACTTCTTTATAACTTCAGGGAAGTGAACCACCACCACCAGATAAGATTGGTATCCTCACTGGCAAATGGCACCACCAGTACTGGTTTTAAAAGTTTTAGAAGGTCTGCGTGATATGATCCAGATTTCGTTGGTGACTAGTAATATCTTTAATTATGATTTACAATGGTTATGCCTCGTTGCAGATGAAGAACTTATGCTCATTGAAGTATTTGTAATACTGTTTGGGCATTTGATGACGCTGCACGCACTATATTTCGATATGCAAGAATTTAGTTGCAGTTTGATTTGTTGTCTCAAATATGCCGGTAGTTGTTAGTTTAGTGTTTGCTTTGTTTATTAATGCCCGGCACTTGATTGTAGGAGACAGTGTCAGACTTGGCTCGGTTCGACTTCGACGTAACTAGTGATTTCACCATCGAGGTAGTTTTCGATGGTGTTCATTTTAAAAGTTTCCAAGCTCAAAATTATATAATTGCCGTGAACATGTATTCACCTACTAGTAAACCTTTTTATGTGAATTCGTTTATTACTTACTAATAATAACGTAATTACGAAAAACAATTAATTAAATTCATAGTCATACTGAATGTGTGACTATGAAGTTAATTTAGTTTTCCGATTTCGAAAGAGACTGAACGTATTTGATTAAGATCATTATTTATTTTAGACGACTCATATGTCAAGAACTTGGTGTGCCCTTAACAGCGGCATTAATGACAGCATACGGTACCCAAAAGGCTGCTGAATGTGATGGTTGGGAAATAGTGTCTGAGTACAATTTCGAAGAAATGGGAAAACAGTTTAATGTTACTTTTGATAAAAAAGGATCCTCCAATAGTAAAATTGATGGTAGCAAGGGCAAAACACAATAAATGAGGAGGCTGGCACGTTTTTTTTTATGTATTTGAAAGAATATATTTACCCAGTTAACCCTATTGTTAGGATTAGGATCTGATAGTCCCTCTATAAAATCAACAATTTCGTTAAGAATTAAAATCACATCTATCTATTTGAGTGTTTTTATAGTAATTCGTGTAGATGATGGTACTCAAGATTGAGTATATTGCTAATAACAGAGTTAATAAACGGTACGATTTACCTATTTTATTGATTATATATATTTTTAATTATCGGTACCTTTTATTAGTATTTGTTGAAGTCATGTCATCTCTTTTTTAAAGCTTATTTACATGTATATAGCTTGTTTCACTGAAAAATATGCTAAACCCTTGTGCAGCATAGATATATCCTTATCTACACAAGCAAGTGACATCATTGTGTACACTACGGTTTCGTTCTCATTTTTTTCATTATGTAAATATATTTTTTACGTGATACTCATTTTTCCCAAAAAAAATAGCAATCAAAGTAGGTTACTTTTTTCACGTCATCTGTGAGACGGTTGAAATCCCCGTAAGACCGTTAGAACAATTTCAAAGATTGGCCAGAACGAACAAAGAGGCAAATAGAAAGACAGATAGTTTTTTCTGTTTAACTATGATTTGTGGTGTTCTCAGCGTTCTAACGTTTGTATATTGTCGATAATCATATTAAGTAGATATTGAAAATGTGTCGAAGCAACAGGGTTAACAATAAAATAATTAATCCTTATCTTTTAACCTTGCAAAATAATCTAACATCTTATAAAACTGAAATTTAATCAGGGAATTATCTATATGTATTTATCTTTAACTAGATATAGTCTGGAAGCCATTTGGTTATAATAATATGACTCAGATAATCTACACGTCATCAACGACAAGTCTGTATTCGGTTACTGGATAAGTTTTTGAAGATCCCCTAATAAAAATATTACTAACTCAATTATGAAGTAAATTAACAGAAAAAAGAATAAAATAATAAGCAGGAAAGTAAAGTTGATGTGTAAATAAAGCTACAGCTTAAAGATGATCTAAAGCTAAAGGTGTGTAGACTATAGAGGAATAACTATATTAGTAATTTTTCTTTCCTTATAAACTTGCGTTAAAAAGTAGAACATTTTGTTCTACTTTTTGAAAGCTTAAATAATGAAAATAGAAAATTTACAAGAAAACTACTTGTTGTGATTGCATTCTACAGCATTTATTTAGTAGTTTGTGTTGACGCTGAGGATAAAACGGATCAATATTTGGAGCTCTTCAATTTTCATCGCCCACCGGAGCGTTGATGCGTTCCGATTATTACTAATATATAAATTCACCTATTCTGTTTTAGTAATTGTAGTTGTTCAAAGCAGTCTGCAGATTATCTAATTTAAAATTATCCACTGCTTCGTTATCGCAACGAGCTCGAGAATTTAATTTGCAACGTTAAAGAATTTCACCTTTTTTCAGATATACTCGTTTTATGAGATGTTAATTTAATATAAGGAACTTAAGACCAATGTGTCAATATCTTATAGCACCTTTGTAGCGTTGACGTTGCTTGTTGATATCCTTATATATATCATTATTGTTGTCATAATTATTATTAGAAGACATTATACTTACTGAACTAGTATTTGTAGAGAGTTCTGGAAAAGTTGCTTCATAAAAAACTAAGTAATCGGCAAGAGGGTTCTCGGATGAGACGGTTTAGTCCCTCTGACGGTTTATACTTGTATATATTTAAAATAGGAAGTAAGAGTCAAAAATACAATAAACTCTTACTTGTTGTTCTACTATTTGGGATAAATTTACCAATGGCTTGGTGCCTGTATGTTGTGCGATGTGGCTTCGATTCCTAGCTCCTCTTTATTTGTTGCTCCTCTTTAACTATTATTCATTTTTGTATCCTCACCTCACAGCGGCGTGCACAGGATTATGACACTACGTATGCGGAGTAGTCGGTCACAAACATTTTTTGTTTTATAGATTTTTAGCATAGCCATAGATGGATCTCTAAGTCGGAAACCATGCCAACAGAACAAGTCTTAGATGTACTACTATTCATGTACATCTTCAACGGGAACGCAGACAAAACAGCGATAGATCGTCGCGGCGGAAAAAATCTAATAAGTAAAATAATAAGCTAAAATATTATAACTACTCACCTGGTCAACTTCAATTTTCAGATTTTTACATATTCAAGGTTCCGGTTCCGGTTACATTTTCCACACGTACCTCACAATCAAATAACGGAACTCAGTAATAAACTGTTAAATGTACACACTTTCAAATGTTAAAATGAAAAATAAAACTATATTAATTATACTGGCGCAAACAAAATAGTAAACAATATGGCCGCGAAACACACGAAACATATCTGCTATTTAAACGAACACTTCCGATTACTCCCGAACTAACTTAAGCATAAGCTGAGGTGACACCTCAGCTTATGCTTGTCCACTGCTGGACATAGGCCTCTCCCAATGATTTCTAATTTTTGTATAGTCGATCAAAAAACATAAACACTTAAGCATAATCCTTGCTTGACTCGACTTGAGCGAAAAATGTGTTGTTTTAATTAAGTTACCAAACTGTTCGTTATGAAACTACAGATAAAAATAAGTGATTACTTAAAACTTAGGTAAATCAATACTGATTATTGAGTCATTTCTAAATAAACGTAGCAAGTGGTAGTAATTAACGGACACCCACACACAGAACAAAATGATCGTGTATTGATGTGCATACTTGCACATTGTGTGATTGCAATACTTATTGCTGGGTGAGAATCGAACCCATGACCTCTGGACTTAGAAGTAAGGTTTGCTAACCACTATACCAATAAGCGATATACCACTATCCGACAATAAAAATGTAAAAGCGCCTTAAAAATAAATACAGCAAACACACCGTCCATCGTGAATCTGCACTTGTTTTTGTAGGTAATGAAATTATCTCTTTTAACTGATCTATTTGTTCTAAAAAGCATCAATATTTTTATCATCCAATATAAAGGCATTTAATGTTAACTCTTATTAAAAATGAGATAATTGTCTAACTACATAGGTACCTAAGTGTGGTCGGGCGGGGCCGTGGGCATAAGCTAGTGTTATATAAAGTTACATTGTAACCTTGAGTAAAATGTTTTTTACTTTCTTTGTTATAATCATTCAAATCATCATCATCTCAGCCGAAAGACGTCCACTGCTAGACATATGCGTCCCCCAAGGCTTGCTTCAACAAACCGGTCCTGTGCTGCCTACATTCAACGGTTTCCTACGACCTTCACTAAGTCCACCTTGTAACGGCCTGTATTAGGTATCATTTATATACTCATAATAATTCAAACTAACTTTTTTTTTTGTATAATTTTTTGATGATATTTGGGTGATTATTATTCTTATGTTTTTTGTGTGAGTTGTAAGAATTGAATATATTCTTTGGCAAAATCAGTAAACTGTATGTTATCTAACCTTGAAAATTATTTATAGTATCATCACATCAACAGCCTATACTAGTTCACTGCTGGACATAGGCCATATAATTATTTATAGTATCATATCCGAATATAAATTTTGTCATAAAATGGTGTCAATGATATTTAAAAAGAATCCGAAATCCAAAATGTCACGGACTATGTAGTGTGATTCCCGGATTTGGTAATAAAATATTTTTAAATTTAAGAATCACCCAGTTACTTTGAAATTCTATTGCAAGATTTAACCAAAAAAACGTACATAAAACATTGCAAATAAAATTAAAGCTTCTGAAAATGAAAGTCTTTTGATTTAAAAATTCAATTATTTCACTTTGCAATTAAAATAGACTAGATAAAGAGAAATTGCTTATTATGCGAATTGAATCCGGACAATCGGCTATAGATTAAATACGAAGCACACCTGGTCGGGATCACCATTCATGAATTATGGACCGTATAGAACTTGACATACTGAATATGAAGCTGTACACTACACTGTAACAAATAACGGATCTAGACTAAACACAATTCGGATATTACTTCAAATGACGCACCTGTTTCCACCCAAAAAATCTAGACCCACAATATTAAATTTGTTCTCCCTAGAAATTGCTTTTTTGTATTGATATAGATTTCAGGTTCATTTTCCATTTCGTTTCATGAAGTGTCATGTCAATTTGATAAATATTCAATTGTTATATTTTAAGGATACTCGTAAGTATACTCCGTGTAGTGATGGATTAAGAATACGGAATGTCCCTACCCCAATTCATTACGTGGGTGTCGTAAGAACTGACTAAGGGCGCAAAACAATGCAGGACACCAGCATTGCAAAAAGAAGAAAAACTTGATACCAACCCGTCTGGCCAGCGTGGTATTGTAGGCCCAAAACCTCCTTTCTAAGGAGAGGCCTATGTCCAGCAGTGGACTATTAAAGGCTGTTGATGTGATGTGGGTGAAGGATACTCGTAGGAGGTGGTATCCGAGGGGATTTCTGCACGAAAAAAAAAAAAAAAAAAGAAAAGGTATCAAGGGCAATTAAAAAAACGAGCAGAAGTCTCACCTTATCGTAAGTTACTACCGTCTCGTTTTTTTTGTGGTATAGGGGCAACGGGCAGTCAGGACAATGGGTCATTTACCACCTCTATCAGAAAAAAGACAAATATCGATGTGGCGACTACCACATACATAGAAACAGAAACATACTACAGCGCCATCTAACGAAGACACACCGAACTATGGAGTAACTACTGAATGAGATTTGCTAATTCTGTATCGCGATATGAAGAATTCTCTCGCCGATTAGCATATATATAATTTTCTGTTGGGCTAATTTACTGTTGGGCCGCGGCCCGCCAGGCATGATCACCTCGCCTGCTCGGAGGACCTTTTGCGTTGGAGGGACATGACACCCGTTCCTCCACAGCTCCTCAACACAATCAATACTACGCGTTCTTAATGTTTAGCTATGGTAGCTTGATTCACGGGAGCAAGCAATCTTTTTGTGTATCTCATGGGCTCTACTTTA